CAGGCAGGTAGACAGGCAGGTAGGCAGGCAGGTAGGCAGGCAGGTAGGCAGGCAGGTAGGCAGGCAGGTAGACAGGTAAGTAGGCAGGTAGGTAGGCAGGCAGGTAGGTAGACAGGCAGGTAGGTAGGCAGGCAGGTAGACAGGCAGGTAGGCAGGCAGGTAGGCAGGCAGACAGGCAGGCAGGTAGACAGGCAGGTAGGCAGGTAGGCAGGCAGGTAGGCAGGCCGGCAGGCAGGTAGGCAGGCAGGTAGACAGGCAGGTAGGCAGGTAGGTATGCAGGCAGGTAGACAGGTAGGTAGACAGGTAGGTAGACAGGTAGGTAGACAGGTAGGTAGACAGGTAAGTAGGCAGGCAGGTAGGCAGACAGGTAGGTATGCAGGCAGGTAGGTAGGCAGGTAGGTAGACAGGTAGGTAGGCAGGCAGGTAGACAGGCAGGTAGACAGGCAGGTAGACAGGCAGGTAGACAGACAGGTAGGTAGACAGGCAGGTCAGCCCTCCAATCTTTACATTCCAGTTGAATTAAATGATTTCAGTCCTGCAATACCGGATTTCTTTTTCTCTCTTTTTTTCAGAGCATTTAATTCATTAATTGCTGTCAGGATAGAATGAGAAATTCAACAAAATGTAAAAAATGTTTTTTGAAGAAGAATACTAACCCTGTCGTTCAATGCTACTTGCTTTTATTTTTTTGGTGGGGGGGCAATGTTGTACCTCATTCTGTCTCATTTTTGAGTGCTGGTACTGCATTGTCAACCTTCAAAAAACCCAATTAGTAGGATTTTCAGATGTTTCTGGTTGTTAACCTCTATAAAAACGCAGCGACCGGGGGTGCCGGATCGCAAGCGTGCATCCAAGACGAAGCTTCAAAAATGGCGGACGCAGAGCCCAAAAACATGCAAATATGGCGAAAACGCCAAGCTGACAAAGTTCGTTCCAAAACGAGAGTGAAGCGGGGTTGACCTACTGGAGAGCACCGTAACCCTCGTAGTAACGGGGGAGGAGGGGCCGACAAATTCTACTCATGTTGCCTTTTAGCGTAATCATGGTTTACTACAACCCGGGGTCTTGTTTTTGT